CAGTACGTACCCACTATCTGGTTAGAGATCGAAATCAAAAACCTCAGGTTTCAGCGCGAAAACGTTAACCACTCAGCCACTGGATCAAAGTTCAATGGTTCACGGTCTCCAACTTCTATTAATTCGCGACATAGCGCGACTATCACCCAAGGTCTTCATTTGGTATCCGCTTCACTTCCGACTGGTTGACCCTATAGGTTAGGGGGCATATCCATTGTAAACCATGTCATTAATCAGCATTAAACAGTTATGCAGTTTAAAGTTCACTGAGATTTAATTTACTTCAAGGTAATATTCATCATGGACTGGCATAAATTGTAGGACTATAGGGGGTTACTTCTGAGAAGCTGCATATCAGGACAAAACAGCTATCCAAGTCTTTCAGGTTCTCAACGGTTCTCAGTCAATGATGAATGTTACAGCAGATTTTATCAAGTCACATTCGACACAAAAACATCTAGTGGAAAGAATTTGCTGATTGAATTTCAAATAGAAGCTAATCTAAAGCAGAGTATTTCGACTCACTTTTGTTAAGCGTATCACCTGATAGCTATGTTGAATGACTTCTTATTCAACCATGACTTGCAAATATTTTTTAAATTTTATTCATATTCTTTTTATCAATAATATATTTGTTTATTTTAAGTGCTTCAGCGGTCTGAAACTTGTGGAAATGCTTCTACGCTGAGTTTTGTAGCTATGGCTCATCGATCTTAGCACTAGAATTACACTAATTGAACATGAGTTCAATTCACACCGGGTTTACTGCGGTCCAAACAACCAGGTAGTGCAATCAGCTTTGACACAATAGAGATAACTCATTGCCTAATACGCGAATATGCATGTGGTTTTTAAGTTATTACCATTCCAAGTTCATTTTACTGTACTTAAAGATAAAAGTAAATTCTCACCAGGAACAAAACATATAACCAGGTCCTGGACTTGCTCACTGGCGGGGCGAGGTCATGAGTGCCCACTACACACGAGTTCTATATTAGGACGAAACAGCTGTCCAGTGCTCTCAGATTACTAATATCCCTCTAGCTAGTGTCAGCTCATGATGAATACCAACCTGAAATCGATAAATCTTCTCAAACCTCCAAATTAAATCAATCTAGTGCTTATTAGTGACTAGCTTCTAGAAGTGATTCCCGAAGTTCCAGTGAGAAATCATGACCGGTGGAACCAACCAAGTCGATTATGTTGACAGCTACTTAAAGATGGGAACACGCCTTTCAGCTTCTAAATACTATGCAACGAAATAGAAGCTTAAAAGTAGGATTGATATGTATCAAATGTTGGACAAATCTAGAGACTTTCATTTTTAACTGAGAAAATTATACGGATCTAACATGAAATGCTACATTATACACATGCACTGTTAAAAATAGGCCTTTTGTTTCACTTCCAGTGGTTACTTGGTCAACTGGAAGGAGAAAAGGTGATAAATCAATAGGTGTATTACAGAACCAGTTGTTACGACTTATTTATTCAGCTACAGGAATCCTTGTTTTTTCAGTCAATTCAAAGAGATTGCATTTATTGGTTTTTAGTTAGGTTATTTAATCAGACAGCTACATGTACGAAGCGTGTGGTGTTCTGGAAACCTCCAGTTATTCCGACAGGTTCAAATTCCTCGGCATTTTCCAGCTTCCTGAAAAATTTAAGCCCATAGTATTCATCTCAACACATGAAAATTCAAGCAATACGGTGAATAAATTCCATGAAATACTCAAAACAGCGGAGGAAAATTATGTTTTAACTCTTCGACTTCTAATCGATATATGAATGAACAACTACAGCACACAATGAATTCATATTGGTATTCATCACGTACTGACATCATTTGGAGAGCCATTAAAAGCTGGGTACATTGAATAGTTGCTTCGCTCTAATATGCGACCCCTTCAAAACACCGCCAGGATCCAGTTGACGGAAGTAGGAAAGTAACGACTGTAGGATTCCGACCCAGTCACGTCCTTGCAACAACTTCTGGTGAGATCATGAGTGCACACTGCTAAGGAGTTTTACAGTAGGATGAAGCAGCCAATTAGCGCTCCCCGGTAATCACTGGTTCTCCAGTTCATGTTAGTCTGTGATGAATGCCAACTTCTAATCAATAAATCTCCATAAGCCTCTAAATTGACAATGAATTCCCTAATTTCTACAAAATCATGCAGTTCTTAGGTATGGTTATCCAATGAGCACGAGCGTGTAAGCAATTATGATGATGCATCTTGTTTTCCAAATGTTTTGTAATCTCTTTCCAGGTACTTTACACAAAATATGATGAACATTAGACTTCACATGAACCTAAGTCTTTCTTCTAACAAACTGCATTGCAGATTTCAGTTCAGACTATGACTGAAATGCAAACCCTTTTGAACTGTTTAATTTTTCAGTTTCGTTTTAAGGTACAAAATGTTTCATAAGCAATACTATAAGGCAAATTAGAACAAGAATTACTAGTAATATACTAGAATTTTTCATCTTTTGATCAACCAGTTGAGAATTTAAAATTGAATAAGTTTGCATTCATCGGTACATTAGTTGCTAATGTCTGAGCAGTCGAAATCTAAGAAGCTTATGAAAAGTTCTTTCATTCAATGAATGCTTTGATTGCTACTGTAGGAGCGAACTGATAAACTAGACTCAGTATTCGGTTAAAAGTGTAACACAGATTTAAGGAAGCAATTGAACAAATAAGGTGCTGTGTAGCGTACTGGATAAGGTATTCTTTTTTTTCGACGTTACAATAAGCGTAAGTGAATTGTCTTTCTAAGCTGTATGGTTTTAAAAATATGTCAAAAATGTTTTTAAAAATTCTGCACTGTACTCTGTGTTTTCTTCGGGAAATTAATTTTTTCTTTTTTTTAAAGTGAGAAAATTCCTTCCACTATGCAAATGAATATTGAATCAGATTGAGTATTGCCATTCTTGTTACCAATTTTTAAAGAAAAAAATTAACCGAATTCTTTATTCAAGGTATTCAAACTATTTGAAGATTCTTGGTGATTTCTTGATTTCAACTTGGAACCCATCATGGACTGACATCAGTTGGAGAACGACTAAAAATCTAGCAGCACTGGGCGGTTGTTTTATCCTAGCATGGGCCTCACCAGCAGTCAGCATCCACTTCCCTACCAGAGATCGAACTGATAGAAGTTATAAGTTTAGACCATTCTGTTCCAATCCAGTGTCTGATAGGTGATGTGCTAGCTGTGAAACCTGAAAGTAGTAAATTCCATCCCTAGTGGAGATTATGGATACATTCTGCTGAGTAGTCCTAAACAAAGACGAAACAGTGTTCAGTGCTCCCTTGTTTTCAAGGATTTTTTCACTCATTTCATTTCCGGATGAATACCAATGTAAGTTATGCTGGTTTCATCTTTCTTGAGTACGTAAATGGCGTAAATTGTCAGTGTAACAGTCCTGTATTCCTAATATACAGTCTAGTTAGAATGTAATATTTTGTAAGGAAAACAAAAAAATAAGTGTTTTCTGAATTAGTGTTTTATTTCACTGATGCTAACTTGTTTCCACGTTTGCGAAAGTATCTTTAAGTGTATGACTGAAATGAGACTTTGAATCTCAAAATGTATGTGAATATGAAACGCTTACGATTACACAGTAAAGACTAGATCAATAACTTTAGGATATTACTTTATGATTTGCTTGGTGGTTATCAGTGACTTTCGTCCCTAAATGCAATTACCCGCATCATAGCAAGCGACCGGTTTTCTTGCGGGCATTTATATGCATGAATAAATAACTTTAAGGCATATTTGGATATTTTTTGTAAAAAAAATAGTCATTCTGACAATTATTTGTGTTGGAATTAGCAATTATGATAAAATTAGTCACCGAATTTGTTTGAAAACGAGATACTTTTGCGGTTGACACTGAAAAGTTGGTTTCTGATTTCATATTGTTTCTAAAGCTGATAAATTGTTTACTTGTTTTTTCAGAAATCTAAATTTGTTCATTTCATATACTTAATACAATAAGATCAGATTTGTATACCCAAAGCAGAGCTTTTGTGGTGTTGTTTATCCTTATTTCAGTACTTTTTTTCAAGCATAGGATATTGTTTAGTAAAAAATTGGTTTTTGATTCATTTAAACAAGAAATGCACTTCTCCTTGTTATATATTTCATCATGAATTGTGTTACGATCATTAATGACCTTAGAAGTATTTTATAAAACCCTTTGAAATTTAAACAATGTTTTACTACTGATGAACGGTTTCAGTAGTGAATATTACTGAGCGATTTCATAATCCATCCATATAAATTGATCAATATAAAATAGCTGTTATCATATCAATCATTCAAATATCTCTGTATGACCAGGATAGGAAGTGTAGTTTACCATAGAATACACAACAGAAGAAGTAGGTAAAAGTGTAAAGGTTCTGATATCAGAGGAGAAATACTGGAGATTTCTTAGGTTGAGTTGTGTAAATGAGAAGATTAAGCAGGTGACTCCTTATGTTAGGCTTTTTACCGTACTGACTATTTTGATGGTGCTCTCTTTGACCTATTAAGGCAGTCATCAAGGCATGTTTTGAACATTCCTTCATCCTATTTTCATGAAATTAAATAGTCAATAAAGTATGCGTAAGCTGCAACATCAGCTCATAACAATAAGATCTTTCAGTTCCTCATACTTGAATGAACTGAAAAGCTCAGCATCTGATTCAACAAAAATATTACGGTTTATATATAACTGTTAACTCTTTGTGATTACTTCCATATAATTCCACTTTTTATAACGTTCTTGAGCCAAATAAAATTTTAAACAGTTAAAATAGTGAATACAGTTTAAAGCTGCGTTCTATCAAAACTTTTCTGTCATTCAAAACTACTGATAAATTTAAATATACTTTCTACAAGATATCCACAAACGTAAAGCAAAAAATAGTGTACATGACAAAATTCCAATGAAAATTTCCATATACAGCTTATAAAAAGTCAGTTATTGAACACTTCAAAACTTACCCAGTGACAACAACAACAAAATCTAGAATATTCCATATATTCCTCAGATAAGATCCACTGTGAAGTATAAATCCAAGAGCAATAATTTTTAGGAACGCTTCACAAGTAAAAATACCCAAAAAGTAGTTTTCAGTGATTTCCTAATTATGAAATAGAAAAAACAAACAAATAAGCAATGAAATATTTCACAAAATTCAAACACCAGGGGATAATGTTATTAATACAACTTATTTATAATACTGTTGCTTGTATGACATCCATCACACAATAAGTGGCTATCATGACTCGAAGGTCTAGTGGATGATGCTCTTGTAATTGAAGCGATCGGTTATGAGTTCGAGTCCTACTGCAAACAACGTCGCACACTGGTTTGGAGGTAAACCCAGCTGACGAGTGCCAAATAAGACGAAATGCGCGTCTTGGATTCCACTGCTAGCTCCCTATGCATCAATAATATACAACATACTTACGCCTGGAAATTTTTATCACTTTTCTTGTATACAATAGACGATTTATGATGTGTACATCTAAAGCTTAGTGACTGAAAGATTGCATAACCGTATTCAGGTTATGAGTTTATTTCGATTTAATCCACCGGATTATTCAGATACTACCCACTTACGTGACGATCTGCAAAGATCACTGGGTGATTGTTTGCTATTTTCATAGATTTAAAGTTGCTATTCAACATAGACTGGTATGAGTATGGGACTACTCAGTGGTACACATCCATGACCTCGGCCGGGATCGAACCCATGATCTTTAGGTTTCGTGGCTAGTAATTCGCCATTCAGCCACTGTATTGGGATTCAGTGATCCACATTCTCCTATTCCTGTCAGTTAGAGATATAGCGTGACCTTCACACAATGCGGTGTTGAGTGTTTGGCATGACACCCGACTTTGACCTGCCGATCACTGCTTTCATTGGGACTTTAGGAGTTATCATTTCAAGCCAAGTCACAAATGATCTGTATATTGTTTCTAGGTTTTCAGTGGTTCTTCAGCTGATGTCAGTCCATGATGACTGCCAACTAAAGGTTGATAAAATTTCCAAAATATAGTGAAAACTGCTTGCAATTAAGCATATGAATGTTCAAAATGATGTAATTTATTGTTTGAAATAGATTCACTTTCATATTGTATGCACTTTACCCTTTGGATAACGCTATAATAAAGATCACAAGAAGTGTCATAAGCAGCTCCTACAATGAATGTGAGTATTCTTTGGCCTATGGTGCTTCTAAGATAGTTGGATTATAACCAGTGAATCATTATAACAAATGGTACAGCTAAAAGACATCATTGTTTGACAGAAAAGGTTACTTTATCCGAAAGATGACTGGAAAGCAGCTTGAATCGTAGCACCAATTCATTTATTGGTATAACTGAATCGTGTGAGTAAAACATCGTTAATCACCCCTGCACTGCTACAGTCAGTGATAGCCATCTAATCAACAACAAGACTGCAGTCACTTCAGAGAAATAACTGACAACGTTAATAACATAGGAAAAGACTGGAAAAACATATCCACCATACAACGTCAATTACCATCTACAATACTCTTCAGACGCATCCAATATTTTAGTCTATTCATTAGGAAAATTAATCCACAGTATTGCTTTTTGTGAAGTATGTTTTGACAAGATGATACTTTTCTTATGTTAAAGTAACATTTCCTGGACATACAGACTGAAGTGATTGGCATTCATTTGATAAGATTTCTATAAAAGTTTTTCTCCCCTGAATGTTATAAAACTAGCCTGGTTTCATTCTGTTTTCTGTAAATACCAAATTGTAGGCATTAAACAATTTTCATACACCATATATTTCAAAAATTAATTTTGTTTGCTTAGTTTATGAAAATGTCACAGGTTAACGTACGATCAGGTAACAGAAATGGAGTTTTTTTTCAGTTTCCTATAGTAAACACTGGTGATGCTTTCTTTGCTTTTCTCTTATTTAAAGATTTACCTACACTTGCTGACTGGAAAGTGGCCGTCAACATTAAGTATTATTACATTAGGTAACTGTAAAAAGGGATAATTTTCAGTGAAATTCCAAAGGTTAATTACTTCCGAACTTCATCCTACCCTTTTTAAATGAATACTTGAAGGTAGACAGGTATGTTTCAACATGTTCAGAGAAAGCAGCCCATTCCACAGGATTTACTGAAGTTTTATAAAAAGGGTATGACTTGTTAAGTGAGCCGATTCGAGATTGGTGTGGATCCTCACCACATTCATTGTTTATTGAATGTGCTATATTACAGCTGACAAAATTACACCAGCGTGAACAAGCTGCTGAATGGTAGCGTGTTTGCCAAAAGACCTCATGGTCTTGGGCTTCGTGTCCCAGTAGGTTATGGCTACGCTCCCTGAGTAGTCCCATGTGGAACTAACCAGACCTTCAATTTTCGGGGGTTTTCATCGGTTCTCCAGATGATGTCATGCTGTGATGCAAATCACCTGTAATCAAAATATCATCAAAAACTAACAGCTAAATTGTCGTAAATAAATATCAGTAAGGAAGACACTTTGTAATACAAGATTGTGATTTCTCCTTGTGATTCATCAGTTTGTTCATCGTCAGATATTAGTACATTGAAAAGAAAAAAACTGAAGATGTGAAACCAAGAACATATACATGCGGCTGTGTAATCACAGTGGTAGATATCGGCACGCAGATGAAAGTTGAAAGTAATTTACTTTGCGGTGACCAAGAATGAGGTAGAAGACGTGCGTTTCGTCGTTTTTAGGACTGGTCAGATGGATGTGCCTGCACCCTTGTGAGTGATGGTGTTACCACCGAGAACAGAACCCTTTATCCATCATTCCAAACACCAAAGCGGTATTCACTCAGCCACTAACGCACTAGGCCTAACCTTTTCGATCCAGTATAAAACTATGAATTACAAGTTTCAGCGAAAATTGAACAGGTTTCACTTTAATTCGAAATTAAGAAGACTTATTCTATTGGAAATAAGTTTCAGCGTATGTAGACAGATGATGAACTGGATTGTTTGGAAAAACTTGTGCAATGAATTTAATTTTATACAGTAAATAATTAGTTATTGATGGGTAAGAATAATTTCAGTGATTTCGAAGCACTCGATAACAAGTTCCGCGCAGGTCAAAACCTGTTTTTAAAAGCTGAATATAAGTGACTTATATGTACAGCAAACTGACGGACAAAATCAATCTGGCATTACTGCTTAACGGTCCAAATTGCCAAACCTTATATCACCATACCAAGCAAGAATGCAGTAAGGTGACAAGTGAAGAAAGTGTATCGATAAATCTACGCCATAGCGAGTGATTCCAATCATATCACCTAGATTTTTCAACCACCAGTTTAGATGATCTAGTCACCTGAGTCGATGAATGTGCATAAACTAATCATTCAACTTTCCTCTTCTACATAAAATTCTACGTCTGATTTCTAGGTTAATTATATGGTAACACCACGACATACACTCGTAGCTAAGAAGAGAACGGTGATCAAACACCTGGAACCATGTCATTTCCTCTCCTTTCAATGGCCGTCTCTCACAGCCACATATACAACACATATATGCTTCAAGAAATTATTCTGTAATACACTACAGTAAGTGTTTCATTATTTAAAGTAAAAAAAGTGCATGAAACTAAATCTTATCAATTGAATGCCAATCACTTCAGTCTGTATGTCCAGGAAATGTTACTTTGACGTGAAAAAATGACATTATTGTAAAAGGAAAACATGGACAATGTGGTAGAAGATAACTGCGTTTCAATTGGTCTATTAGATGTAGTATCTTAGAGTGAAATAATAATATTTTGCTGGATTAATTTGATTTGACTATGGACAACAAATTGTCTCTGAAACTAAATCTAGTAAATAATACTGTTTCTTTCTGTGATAAATCTGAAACATCAACTGAAACGGAAGAGAAACTTTCATCTTGTCAAAACATACTTCTCAAAGTAATACTATGGATTAATTTTCTTAATGAAAAAACTAAATGTTGAATGCGTCTGAAGAGTATTGTAGATGGTAATTGACATTGTATGGTGGATATGTTTGTCTAGTCCTCCTAAATTAGGAAAGGTGTCAGTTTATATGAACTATGATCATGATTTGACCGAATAGTATGGCAAATATTGGGCACTGAGTCAAAGTTGAACATTAGATATAGTTTGAAATAAAGTAGTTTTAACGTTTAGCACGGAAGTCTGTTTCAAGCTTCTTTAGGAAAATAGTCAAAGTTAAAATGTGAAGGGTATGTAAATGAATCCAAAGACATGTATCTAATATCCTTGTTCAATTCTCTTCGTATAGTCATTGTTTTTCGAAAATATGGTAACTAATGGTTCAATATGAAGTTGTATGTCTTTTGTTTTATGCTTAGTGTGTGTGTGTTACTATTCATATCTCCCATGATAACATAACACCAACCCGGTGGTTGTTGGTTCGAATTCGGCGACGGTCCACATTTTCATTTAACCTTCAATCATCACCCAGTATAAATACTAGTCTCCCAAACCATAGCTATCTCAGAAAATCGAAATGACAATAAATATCCGACACAAACGGGCACAGGTGACATTATAGTCATTCGGTAATTTTCTAAGTACAATGAGGCAGTATGAAGTGGATGTGCATGTCAATTCACTATGTATGTGACTGAATAGTATTACCGAGTTTTTTCATTGATTTTTCGGATTAGAGTGAAAATGAATGAACGTAATGATAGAAGTGACGATTATAATAATGCATCAATCAATTCAGTTTGTATTGTAGCAGGTACAGAGATAATAAAGTTGAGGCTGATGTTAAAGGGAAATGCTAGAGTTACTCTTCTTGCTTCCTAACTAGTAACTACCAAGAAGCACCTAGCTGTACTCCATCAACTCTGTTCAAACTGTCTAGATTTGACTGCTTTGCGAAATATTGGGTTTATTTTGATTTCAAACATGCTGTAACTTACAAAAGTATGAATTATAATCCAAGGTGTCAGTTGTTCACATCCAGCGATTACAACCGTAATGTTCAATAGAAGGTTGTCACTGATCATTTAGTGTAAGAGACTGTGATAAGAAATCATGCCATTAGATATATCTTGAAACAAGTTTTTAAAAACATTCTATTCACAGAATTCCACCACAGTAATATATAAGATAGCTTCAATGCAAAAGCAATCTGTTAGGCAAAAGTTCATTGTTTGTTTACTTATCCGATGATATTTCATAGAGACTTAAGTGCAGTCGATGGTGCATGTTAGCTGCGTTCTGAAAGAACGCAGATCAAGGGAAATGATACTATCTAGTTACATTGGCAAATCCTTTGAAACAACACTGCATATGACTTATAAAAACGACTCATTAGTTAAAAAACAATATTTTGAATTCAAGTCAATGAACTACTTACCAGTTTTTCTGATAATGGACGCTTGTCTTTATTAGGCAAATGAACTTCCATTGCTAAGACAACACAATTAGCTATAATCGTTGACAGGACCATATATTCGAATGGCGTATACACATCAAATTGAAAAACATTCAGAATGCATAACAATTACACCAAAATATCCAGAAAGAAGATTAGGCAAAGAAATCAGTTATCCAAAAAACGCACATATATAAAATGCAACAGTTAAGGAATTAGTATAATTTCTTTTTGATACTGTTTTATTCATAATGAATAAACAAAATGATTGCAAATGGATTAAATATAATAAAAAAAGAATAAATAATATGATTAGATGTGAACATGTTTAATAAATGATTTTACCAAGGAACCTACAAGGTAGAACAGTTGATCTAAGTTGATGTATAAAACAGATAAGAATTAAATAAAGCCTTATTTAGAAATGTACCTTGTTTTCCTATTCATATATATATCCATACATACAACATACCATAACATGTAATGAGTTCCTTTGAAAAGCTAAAATGAATATATTAGCAACTATAACCATGCCACAATTACTGGACAGGCCAACACCCATGTCTTCCTCCTAGTCTGTAAATGTACATTTTTATTCATAATGAATATCAAGATTAAATTCGATTTTTGTGTTCAGAAAAACAAAAACAAATGACAGAAACAAAACGCTACTTATATCTCAGTATTATTGTATAATCAACAAAGATAACAGCAACAATGAAAAACGACACTGGGGAATTCATTGAGTAATGAATGACACCATCTTATTGTTTTAAGATGCTAATTTCAAAATGTGAGAGATGAAATTGATTACCAGATTTTATGTTTGGCATTGTTCTTGTTATCATATTTGTTAATTTGAGGGGAGAAAACCTAAATTATTTTCACATCCTTTCAAGATATGAATACTGAAGGGATATATCGGTGGTGAAAACATAATAATGATAATTTTAAAGGTAATAAACATAACAGGCTGATAAAGTTGGAGAGTCATAGAAAACCCAAGAGCACTGAGTAGGTGTTTTTTCCTAGTATGTGGCTCCTCAGTAGTGCAGACCCATAATCGCACATAATCCAGATACCACCAAGGCCTTCATTTGACTTCCGCTTCACTTCCAACTAACTGACCTCATATGTCATCGTTCTCTTGTGTTTTTACTGACTTAATGAATTAAACGGAATTTTAATTGATAAACATATAAATCTATGATTTTTATTGGCGAACAGCTATAGCCAGAATAGGTGGGTGATAGATTTTCAGGAGATGGCATTTTTAAAGTCAACATGCGCTATTGGTGTATGGGTCGTATTTCAACCGATCGTAGTTTCCATCACATTTCAGCTATCGAAATCAAAGAAATGTTGTAATATGTAGGTAAAATTAATAATCAAACACCCAGTAAGTGCTACCAGTGATGTGAATTGTTAAATTTCATTAATTATTATAGAAGAATCATTCTTGAGAACGATTTTGAGCCTTAAATTGTTCACTGTGTAATTTTAGGCAAGCGTAGCTAAAAGAATATGGTTTCTGATCACAATAGACTGTAATATCTTAGTTCAGACATTCAGTAAACTACACATCGAAGATCGACTTCCACCATTATCAGTGTTCAGCACAAAGTCTTATAGGCTTCTGATCGCGTAAAAACAGCCCCTTTAATATCAAAAGACTCAGAAGATAAGAACAGAAAGTTTGTAAATGTATCCACTGTACAACAACTAGTCCAATGTATCTGGTTTAAAGCTTATATTTAACATGCAACAGGAGCCTTCAAAAGTCCAGGCACCCATCATCTTTACACTGATTATAAGTGTAACATGGCTTAGAATGCACAGAATACACCAGTGTGAACTACGCCGTTATTCAACTTGTATTTTGCATCCTTCTTCTGGTCTTGTTATCATCACATAGTTAGTATTGACAAGATACTTATCCTTCCTACTTAACACCACAATCCTATATACTAAGCTGTCATAAACTTGCTTGATTCTTCACTGTATATCCCCATTTTTATCTTATTTCCTTTTGTATATTAACACTGAGAGTACCTTACTAACTGTCTAAAAACTATAAGATTTCTATTTTTCATGTTCTTTTAAACATCTAAATTTGACTTACTGTATAGTAATAAACTAGCTCCAGTCCATTTAATATAACATCATAAACTACTGGTGAAGACGGAGTTCTACCGGAGGCATATCACTAATTAGCCTAAAGGGTAAGTTTCGTGTAGAGTAATAGTGAATAAGTATCAACTCCACTCTATAGCTATTTACACTGTCCCCTGACTGCAATTTCTTAAATTGCCAGTTGTCATGCGCCATTGAAGTTGATCTTTTTTAACCTCAAGTTGCTCTGAGTTTTTAAATTCCATGCTATCTACAAAAGATTGTTCCGTAAAAATTGTTCGTCGTATCTGGCAAAGTGCCTTGAATTTAGCTGTTGCTCTAAAGCTGATAGTTTCACTCCATTTTGAGTAAAACCTTTGGAAAATTAGAAAATTTAATATAATTATCATTTCATATATCCTCTTGACAGTCGATATGTAGAAAAGTATACAGACTTTACTTATCAGTCAATGAGTGAATGACGGATTTAGTTCGTCTACTTACTAGCTTTTTAACAGTGGAAGCAACAAACTTTGAATTATGCATTTACACTGACTACAGGACTAATGTTTAGTAATAACTAAGCGGTAAGAGGACAAAGACAAGGTGACAAGTTACTTGTGACTCATCAAGAAGACTTGGAGCCTTTCTTACCTCAAGTTACCTCAAGTAGGTTGTATACGGCATAAGACTCACGAATAATGACACAGTGGAACTTATTTCTTGCCACGTAAAATCTTTAATTTTGTTTATTTCTTCCAATAAATATTTTTATTTGTGTTCAAATAAACTACGATTATTAAAAATTACTTTTTAAAGCAACTAACGTATTTCTTAGCATTGTTTAGAACTAATGTTCAGGAAGAAGATGTGATAAAGTGTTGTTAACCATTTTCTAATTCTCAAAAGTTACCTATCTACATAACAAGTAAAAATATGATTTTTGAGTAAGTAGTCATAATTTGCTAACCATGTGGATAAATAATTGTGTTTCACATTATTCAGTACCTCAGACATTCACTGATCCCTATAACACTGATGAAAAAACAATTTGAAAGGAGAATATTCTGTTTAATAAATTCTCATCAATATTCTACAATTATAAAAGGCATTTATGCAGTGTAGAAACAACCCAAGTTAGAAGCGAATATATTTCTAAATTGAAGTGTAAGTTAGAGACAGTAAGGAAATAGACTGTGATGCTTAAATTTGTCAGCATTAAGATGGTAAATTCATACAAATAAAGAAAGTGATGGATGGTAAATGAAACGACAACGAATAAGCAAGATTGGAGTGCCCTTGATTTTACTGAAGGTCAAGTAAGGAGTAACGTTTGAGCGTGGTCTTTCTGAGATCAAAGTTCAGGTTTTGCCCGTGTTGTTACGATAACCTCAGGCTGACCAACTTAGCTGAGGTTGTTGCAAAGATTTACTAAGACATATCTAGATGACGTAGTTGCTTACAAATTTTATATATATATATATATATATATATATATATATATATACAATGTTTTCACGGTTACTTAATTTTTCTATTCATCATATTGTCTAAGATGATCACCGATTTACAGAATCCAGTTTGTTGCATTTCGAAGGATAACTTTGGCCAGCTGGTATTATTGAAGTCAATAAGAAAGTTACTGTTTCACGAATCATCTGTTACGGATAGACTCTCATCTGCACGCTAGGTATATAACTCTTCCAAGTAAAAGCAACATCTAATGACCACATTATCCGTAATTACTATAATTTCAAATATTCTGTTCTAACAGTTTATCGACTTACACTTTGTTTTCATTGAAAATTTCCGGATCATAATCATTACATAAGCAATAAAAAGATACTTAGATCATTTGTTTGATAAGTAGAAAACAATGTGGTGAATTTATCTTATTCAGTAAAGACTCGATTCATTAAAACAGGTACCAAATGCATCCGATTTTGAAGTGAAACTAAAAAATGCCTAACTGTTATGAAAAAAGTGGTTTATTTTGAGAATGACACTGTTTACTAGATTTTCTTGCTTCTGAGAGTGATGCTTTGTTAGGAATCTATAAAGAATGTCATTTCAAATCTTTTCGAACTCAAGTTTCTGCAAATCATTCAGCAGTCCTACTTCCACGATGAGTTTTCATCACTCGCTACTAGTACTTTAAGTCAATGAGTGAAGATGAAACCATGAAATATGGTTGAATATATCCTGCATTCACGTAACTATTTCCTTTGGAAAACTCGCTGATTACTTTTTACTACCTGCACCTTAATTTCGGCTGGAATTTATACACACTGATGAAGCGTTGTATATTATTTCATAAATATGTTTCACTTTAAGATACCAGTAAGAGTTTTTTGAAATCCCTTAGGAAAATGTTCCAAAGAAGCTATCAGCTTGAATACAAACAAAGTGTTCTCATACCATACTATATGGCTGTCAGGTTAGCGGTTTAATTCAGCTCGTAATCCTAGAGGTACAAGTGAAAATTATAATTTTCTAGTCTGCAATCCATTCAAGGAACAGGCTTGAAACATACTTTATTCTTCAGGCTACTCAAAAAAGCTCATATTAATTCACAGATTTGTTTTATGTGAACAGTAAGAGAAAATCAATAACAGCAATGGACCGCATTATCACATGGTTACACCCTTCATATTAGAAGTCTTCAGAAAATTTCTCATCCCATAGGAGTGCAACAGAATTCAAAGGTTTTCATAAGTTCCTGCTTAAAATGTCAGTAACGCCTTCCTTAGTTAATAATCATTCGAATTTACAAGACTTCAAAGGTGTAGCGGTCATCCGAAGTTTGAAAGGTCTTTGTGTATGCCTTTTTAATAATAATTCTACCTTAGGAAATATGAAGACAGTAGTGAGATTGCAAGGAAAGAAAAAGTTTGACAGTTATCAATCGTCAATAGCACTCT